GCGCGGGGGAAGCAGGAGCAGAGGCTGCGCGGCCGGAGGGTGTGGCGGCGGGCACGAGCCCGGCCCGGCCCGCCCGTTTATTGGGCTGGACAAGTAGGGGAAGCAACAACACACACACCAGTCCGGCGGACAAGGGGGAATTTCCGCGTCCTGCGGCCCCGGAGAGGCCAGCTCCAAGTCCCTGCGCCTAGAAGCCGGGACAGAAGCGACTCTTTCCTTCTTACATATTCATGAGGTTTTCCACCTGACTAAGGACAGTTGCAAACTCTTCCATTTCCGTTTGAAAGGGGAGCTGCTTCTCCAGGAACGGGTCCCTCTCCTCGCCAGCCAGTTTCCACTTCTCTTTTGCCATCTATAATGGAAGGTGGGGGGAGGGGAAGAGATAAGTTGGTGTACAGCAGCGTGCACATTTGGATGCCTCTACAAAGGAAGGAGGATTAAGGCAACAGACTGTGGGACTTAACCAAACCAGCGCTACAACAGAACAGATCACGTTGGTTCAGCCTCATTCCTCAACAGATAATCTCACACCGAAACAGCAGTTTCTGACTGAAAAAAAAGATAGTAGTCCTGCTCAAGTCAACTTCTTGGGAGCTTCAGAGCAGATAATTAGCATTTAACCAGATGGAGACAAAAGGCAGAAGGGATTCAGATTACATTTACAAGAGAGCACAGGTAGGACAGTGTTTCCTTTCCCAACCTTTTCCAGCTCAAGGCACACCTACATTAATGCATTTTTTCCACAGAACACCCGTTAAGGCAATCCCCATCCTCATACCTATTGTAGCTCATTGCCATGGCAAAATTCCGCAGCACCTGTTCATTTCTGACAGAAACACTTGTGCGCTGCAGCACACTGGTTGGGAAACACTGGGGAAAGGGAAGCTTGCCTGGTATAAGCCATTAGCAAAAACATTTTATTATGACAACTGGCATCTGGATACAACCTGGGGGTGCAAAGCACGCTGTCCAAGTTTGCTGATGACACTAAGATGTGGGGCAAGATGGACACACTTGAAGGGAGAGAGAGAGCTGCAAACAGATTTATACAAAAGTGGGCAGATGAGAATAGGATGGGGTTCAATGTAGACAAATGCAGGGTGCTGCACCTTGGGAGAAGGAATCCATAGCATACATACAGGCTGGAGAGCTCCCCTCTTGAAAGCACAGAGGTGGATTGGGATCTTGGAGTCATTATTGACTTCAAGATGAACATGAGCCGCCAATGCCAGACTGCAGCCAGCAAGGCCAGTCATACCTTGTCATGCATCCAAAGGTGCATCTCAAGCAAGTCCAGACCAGAGAGGTGATACTCCCCCTCTATGCGACTTTGGTCAGGCTGCAGTTGGAGTACTGTGTCCAGTACTGGGCATCACACTTCGAAAGGGATGTGGCCAGCCTGGAGAGGGTTCAGAGGAGACCCACCCGCTTGGTAAGAGGGCAGCAGGAGGGAGGGCCATCTCAGGAAGCCCCGCAAGTGACAGCTCCCTGGTGCTCTGCTGAGGGACTCCCATGGATATGGTGGTTGCTTTTCCCCTGTGCATTCATCAGCAAATAGGAAGAGCCCTATTCTCCCCAGCACCACCTGGGGTGACGAGGAACAATGGTAATAAGCTGATGGAGAATAGGCTTAGGTTAGAGATCAGGAGGCAATATTTTACAGTTAGGGTGGCCAGAATCTGGAACCAGCTTCCTAGGGAAGTGGTCCTAACCCCTACTTTAGGCAAATTCAAAAAGAGTTTAGATGATCACTTGTCTGGGGTCTTGTGAACCCATCATTCATTCCTGCCTGTGGCAGGGGGTCAGGCTAGGTGATCTGATCAGGTCCCTCCTGACCCTAGCTACTATGAAACTATGGAAATACCGGCAATTGCCTCGGACTGTATATGACCCTTATTGTAAGATTTGAGAACCTTACACTCTTTAATGCCTTTATATTAAAAAAAAAAGGCCAACAAAGGTAGGGAACTACTATTATGCACATTGCACAAATTGGGCAACTTAGTCTTTCTGCTACAGTTCTCCAAGTAACAGAAGTGTTTTTGGCAGAATTAGTTGTATCCAGGCTTTCAAGTCTCAGGCTAGAACCTATTTGGCCATCCTTCTTTCCAGGGAAGTTTATGCTTTGACTTTTGTAGTTATGGAATCTCTAAAGACAAATGCAAATGGATGGAGCTTATTTCAGAGAGACAGAGCTGTGCTTCCAGTAGTGATATGCCTCAGGATGTTGGTGGGGTATATGCAATAGCAGTCAGCTTAAAGAACATTAGCTGCAAAAATCATTACCACTTCTTGATACGGCTTCCAAAAAAGGGAACTTACCTATATACAGTTTTGACTAGATTCCACCCTGGATCCTAAAGATTCAGTATAATAGTAGCTAAAGAAGAAGTCTAGTGAAATTACTAATCATCTTATGCTGTACTGTACTGCAACCCCCACCTATCTCTTGCCATATAAGTGGCACCCAGAATTCCCTTATTACATGCACGTATAAAATGGAAGACAAAAGGCAGCATTAAAAGCCTGCTACAATACATCACGTTTACTTGTAGATTTAAAGGAGAGAAGAGAATAAGGATTTCATTTCTCTAGATGCAAGGGGTTGTGGTCTTACCTGAAGTTCTTCCATCTGCTTTGCAGCCATTTGACTGAATTGTTGCAATTTTTCCTTAAGGTTCTCTGTCAACAACTGAAAGGAACCCAAAACAAGCTTGGCCACACAGAAAGTGTCAGTTATTCCCCTCTTTTCATCTTGTTAATTCTCATTTGCAAATGAAACGTTGGCTATTTGACCCCACATATATTGCTCTTCCAACAAGTTCTCACCATTGTCTGCGTCTGACACTCCTTCATGTTTTCTTCCTCTTCCAATATTTTGTTACCTGTAACTGATTCATAAATAATTTAATAAGCTACTCAGTTTTGCTCAACAGTTATCCACAAGCTAGTCTTGATCTTTTGCCCATGGTAGTAACTCCTTAATTAGTCATCCTCCACACCCATATGAAGAGCAAACCCAATGTTCCAGAGAAGGCTGCTCCATAGGAAACAAACCAGCTAGAACAGCTTCTCCCTTTTTTTTAAAACCAGAAGGTCTCTTCTATACCAATACACCAAGATCAGGACTGAGCATAATGTGGGGTCCTTGGCTGCAACATTCAGATGACATCTAAGAATAAGTACCACTTGTCCCACACCTTCCATCCATTGTGACTAAACTCCCAAAGCACAGAGAAATCCTTAGTTCTCACCTGGATCAATGTTTCTGCTTTCTAAAATCAACATGCAGTTCTCTTTAAATTCCTTCAGCTTCTCAATTTCCTCTTCCAGGACCTCATTTTTTTCCTTCAGATCCTTTATAGTATCCTGTCATAATAAGATCAGAAGTTAGTAAAGAATTCCTCTCCACCCATCTTCTTTCCACGTAGTCAGTAAATTCCCTGCAAAACAAGTTTGCCAGTCCAAGCAGCAATATGTACAACTGATACCATCAGGATATAAATCTAGTGACCCCCCTTTTTGGATGCTACAATCAATCTGGAACTGCCTAAATTCTATCCCATGACTATGTACACAGTAAAACTATAACCAGAGTCTATTTCACTAGAAAGTCAGAAAAGTGAAATTCTGACAAGCTCCAGAAAGTGAAGCAAATTCTAATCGGCACATCAGGTATTAGCTGAGAGGTGCATCTCCACAGGCTAAACAGTTTTCCCCAGGAAAGTCTCAGCCCTGTTAAAAAGAGGGAAGTCTTGGCAGGAGTGACAGATCTTTCCCGGGATAGAAGCACTATGTTCATTTAGCTCTACTGACATCATCAACAAAACACTAAAGTAGATGCGATTTATCTCAACAAAACCAGGTTTGCCAGACAGCTTATTACAGATCCTCCCTATGACATGATCTACACCAGCAAAACCTACTTTTTTGCCATTCTAACTGTGCCTACATGTGGGACTTTTTTTGCTAGCACGGCTATACTATCAAGCATTAAACTTCTTTACAGCTATAGTGACATAACTGTGCCAACGGAAGAACTTAGTGTAATTCACTCACTCTTGACATCCCCTTTCAACAGTCTTGAGATCCTCAACTAAGATATTAGTGTTGGGAAACAGCCTGGCCTCCAGTAGCCAAGGGGTGTGATACAAGCTAGGCCTACCAAAGCCTATTAGGCAAGACATGAGTAAAAGGTTTGGCTATTATTATTATTATTATTAAGTAACCAAAAAGGCTTTTTAAATCATATTGCATGTTCCTATGGTAGAGATTAAAAGCAGAGGGTTTTAGAGACTTAGATGCTGCTTACAGCTCCTGAAGGAAGAACCAGAGGTGGCCAAGCCAGTAAGGTTTGCTGAATAATCAGGTTTATTCATGGTACTGCAGAACAGGGCCCAGCACAGAACGGAAAAAAGCGCAGAATTCTACCTCAAGAAACGAGGGTCAAGCCTGAGGAAGGATGAAGATTGGCTGCGTGTCTTAAAAAACTGTGACAAACCATCTTTTCCATATACTCAACAGCAAACAGTCATAGCTCTGATAAAAGAAGTTGGGAATGATGTATAGTAAGGAGAAACATCTTAGACGCACTGAGCCACAACACTATTCCTCCCATAACTCATAAGAGGTATTGCCTAGCAAGCTTATCAAAAGATGATCAATTGATTACTGTTTTTCACCTGGGCTCCTGCTAGTTGTAAATGTAGCTTCTGTTTGGCAGTTTCCAACACTTGGTTCTTTGTCTTCAGTTCTGCTTCCACTTTGTATCGGCTCAGAGGTCTGTAGAATACATTACCACCAAGAATTTAAAATAGGTATCACTGTAGTTTAGTATTTGGCTCAAAATACCAGATGAAAATGGGAGGAGAGGTATAAAAGGTTTTCTTCCTTTGCTGAGCAAGGAACAAAAGTGTCAGGATTTAAATACCTCTAGTTGTGCAGCATACTCTCCCTCTCTCACACAGTTCAGTGCACCAAGCCCCATTACACCCCCCCACCAAAAAAAACATCCATAGACTCTCTCCAGATGGACACCTTACTAGAGCACCTTAGAAAGTTGGGCCACCTCAAAGCAGCTCTTAGTACTGTTTGGAGAGTTTTGTTTTCCATCAACTTACGCTCTCACATTTGTTGCCGTCTTCCTAGAAAGAGGCTCCTTTTTCTTAGTAGACCTAGAGATGTAAAAAACAATAGAAATCTCATTACTTTACACAGCATTTTTCCAAACTACCAATTTAAATTGTCACTTCATCAAGATACGCATATAGAAAAAACTCCAAGCTTTTGTTAATTAATAGAATCCCTTATTAACTTAATGGAATCTAAGAAAGTTTCAATAAGACTGTCTATACATGTCCTTTGCATTTACCTTGGATTTGAAGCTTTGAAGACACCATCTTCTGGAACATTTGAACTAAAATTGAAATTGGGAACTTTGCTGAATTCAGATTCAGCAGTCTTGTTAATACATTGTTTCTTGGAGACAATAAGTGTCTGTGTTTCTGGAAAGAAAGAGAGAAATTCATATCATAATGAAATACTGCAGTTTCTAGAAACGTCATACAGAAGTTTTTACCAAAGAACAAGTAGACCACATTCCAGATTCCCAAAGAAACCTTGAATTTCAGAGAAATCACTAATCCAGGACTCATTTTATTATTTTTAATAATGATGTGAGGCAAGGATCCACCCCAGTAATTTCCATATTCTGACCAAAACACAGGCACAGATGAAAGAGTGGGTGATATTTAAACCCTGGGTGGGCCAGTGTTAAAATGTAAGTCACCACCCAGCAATAGACAAGAGATGGCTTGACATTCACATTTGAAGACAGAGCAGAATATTTAAGCATTCACAAAAGACATACCACTTTTGATAAGCAAGACGTACAGTGTTGGACACAGTACAAACTGAGCTTTTTGAAACTTTCAGGATTGAGAAAGCTTGTGAAATAATGTAAGATCCTAAGAAAGCTAGTTACTCTGGATTTAGTCGCATGTAGTATTTGGCCACTTAATTATACAAGGCTTTGTTCACACCTAGCATTTTCAGAACACTAGGAACCAGGCACAGGGTTTATATCATGTTTTGTCTTGCTTTGAACAGAGGAAGGGTACTGGGGAATAAAGGAATATCCATGTTGAAAACTCATTGTCACCTTAGTTGCACTGTATCTCAACCAGGTCCCTTTACCTTGCTTCTCTGCTCTACAAAGCCGAAGAGACAAATGATGGTAGAGGCAAGATTGTTTTGGGGTGGTAGCTTTTATTGGACCAACTGCATGGTCGGGGTAAAGTTAGGCAAGCTTTTGAATGCAAGACATTCTTCATCCAGATGGAGGAAGGAGCATTAATACCGATGATTAAGCACAGTGGATAGAGCTCTGAAACTACACAGGGGAGAAGTTCCCGGGGTAGCAGACGAGCACGCAGCAGAAGAGAAGTTTGATTACTGGGAGATCAAGACCTATCCAAACAGAGGGCCATTATTAGACCTGTGCAAATAGGGAAGTATTTGATTTCGATTCGGAGGACAGTGATTCAGTTTGGAGATTCGGATCACTCTTCTGAATCGATTTGGCTGAATCAGCTTTGGAAGATTCGGCGATTCAGATGGTCCAGGGAGAGGCAGGCACAGCTGGTTGGGCTGCATGTTCTCCTGTGGCTCCTCCAGCTG